GCTAAGGATACTTTTTTGAATCATCTTCAAAACACATTTAATCAATTCGAAAGAAATATGGATCCAAAAACTAACATTAATTTAAGAAAGGGGTAGTTTTTACCCTGCTTAGTTTTTAATCTCGCGGCGATTTAAGTGAATTGCTTTTTCCCAAATGAAACTGTGAGCCTCCCGAATGATTCACGTTAAGATATTATTACTTGGCACGCTCTTCTCGCGAGGCTACACGTAATCGCTCACGACGCGCAATTTCCTGCCAGAAAATACGTCAGACGTATGACAAGCAGACTTAAGCGGGCGAATGTATGCGCGAATCTACCACTAAAAATGTTCTCCTTCGGTCTTATCCAACTTGCGGTTTCTCATCGTCTATTGTGACGTCGGTACTCTACTTCTTGCGTTATTGTCAATTAAAGAAAACGACGTGACGAAGGAAGGAGAGTACATGAGACTGCCGAACCATTTTCCTCCGGCCTGTCAATCGCACACGCTGCTGAAAGGCCGTAGCCGGAGATAAAAAGCGGCAGTTTTCTTCGAAATTGCTCATAAAGAGCATCGGTTTGCACCGCACCGTATTCTCTTAGCGATCCGTTGTTGTCCACAGGACATGCACGACGTTCCGTGAAATTGCTCGCGAGATGGTAGCTGAGACGGTGGATCCAGCTATTCGTTATTTATCGTGTGGACGGTCTTTTTTTTTAATAGTTTATCGCGTCACTCGTAGCAAGAGAGAGAGAGAGAGAGAGAGAATGAAAAATAATATATGAGGTAATAGAACACTGGGTGTTTTATTAAACACGCGATATTGTGCTCTTCTGGAAATTGAAAATATATGCAATTTTTGAGGTCGAAAATATGAACGATCAAATGACGGTAGTCTTCAGATCAAGTAGAAAGTTCATTAGTCGATGTTAATACAACTCATGACGTAGTTTCAATATATCGATCGTTCGGTATACGAAGAGCCATCTGCGTTCCGATCTCGTTAAATTATTTACCATGCCATTTATTGGGTATTTTCCGATGCAGAGATATCGATCTCTTAATTATTCGTTGGGGAAAATTTATGCGGGTATGATATTCTCTTAAATGAAATCTGATGGAGTCATCAATTGATAAGTAATTTCAATTATAATATATTAAGCGCAGTGATTTCGGTTATAATAGTGCCAACAATAGAATTTCACTGAGAAATAATTAATGATTGTTTCAATAATATTTTAAATGCGTCTTATTATTATTTATATAATACATTTATATAAATAATATTATATATAGTTAAAGATTGTATATATTTTGTTAAAGGAATTTAAGCTTGTGGCTAATTGCAATCTCGCTTTGTTTTTTGTATCTATTAAGAGTAAAGGGATGTAATATGCTTTGTTTTTTGTATCTATTAAGAGCAAAGGGATGTAATAAAGTGTGTATTTTCACCGATTTAATTTAAAAAAGTGAATGATGTTATAAGAGGATATAGAATATAAAGAAAGGGGGAGGTAATTTTATATTAATTAGATAATATTTTATAAAGAAATCTAAGTATACCATGTATACTCGTGAAATTAAATTGGAACGTGACACAGAAATTTAATATCATAAGAATTATCTCAGAATGCACATAACTCTTCTATTTCTATTTCTTTTATACTTTTACTTTTCAAATATTTTTATATCATGTCATATATGAAGATCTTAATCGTGAATATCTAAAAATCATCTTTTGTGTTATAAAGAAAGGAAGAGAGGAAGATGACAATTGTGTCTTTTATAAAAAATAAAGAGTAATTCTAGAAAAAATGTATATGTAACATAAATTAAGATTTTAAAAAGTTCTTTATAATTTAGAATATTTTATATAGAATTATTAGATATATATTCAATATACACGTTTTAAGTTTTCATGACTGTGCGCAACGTATTTGCGCGTAATTAAAAAAACAGCGAGACATATAGAAAAAAAATAATTCTAATATTCCAATATCTCGAATTTAATAAACATCGGTTTATAAAGCAAAAAATGGAAAAAAACGTTCATTTAATTCAGTTGATTCAATAACGTATACATGTATACACTCTGAATAAATCATAGATGTATAAAAATGCTTAAAATATCAGTACGGTTCAGTTCGTAACTAGTAAAAAAATGAGAGTCTAAACAACAGCAATCCTGTTCTATTTTCATTTTTGCGATTCTATAACATATTGCTTTGTGAAATACGATTGCTGAATATTCTCGTATATTTTGCCCTTCTTTCATACGTTTCTTATTGCGAAATAAAAGAAATGAAGAGCATCGAGTAAGAATGGAGAAGAGAACTTTCATTTTACGTTGTAATCTCTTGACTGGAAAAGAGGAGCTACTTCGGGAAACGATGATCTGCACGCCGTAATTCACTGGAGGGATGGAAAGTTATTGCCGTACTTTCCTTAAATTGTAATTTATATCGACAATTTGGTGATTATAAGGAGCGAATGGAATGTTGCTCCGAAGCGCGTACAGGTCAATAAAACGTTGATGACTAATTTATCAATATAAACTCGCATTAACTCGTTTTAATCATATTGCATTTAATCGCGTGCGTCATTTTTTCTCTCTTTTTTTTGTAACCAAATTTTTATATATCCACGATTAAAATTTTTATATATAACATGATATAAAAATTTTTAAAAAGCCAAAAATTATGAAAATCTTCCGTAATATCAAGTTTTTAGACGAGAGAGTTGTCTGGTAAAAAATTTGAGTGTCATCTGGGAATGAATTCATAAATATACGGGATTAAAATTTTAATAAATATATCTAGATGAATGCAAACGTAATTAACGTGACACGTCATCAAACGGAATGCTTCATAAATTACGGAGTTAACTTTGTTTCCAAGTGATCAAGCGGGATTCATTAGCTACACTTGAAATAACGTGGGGAAAGGGGTAATGAAATGTCATGCGCGTAAACATTACTATTATATGAGAGACGTTATAATGAAGACCTAGTAACGCGATGGAATGTCTAATGAGCGTTATTACGGCCTACGAAGCCGGGTGCGATTATTGATGGCCTGGTATAATCAACACGTGTTTGATTACATCATCAGGTTCACCTAGCGCAAGTATAGGTGAGTGGCCTGATTTATTCATTGTTTATCGATGCCTATAATAACCAAAATTTGGTTGCCATTAAAGGCAGAGAGGCGATATGTATTATGCAGTATAGTATGTGATTAAACGGTACATAAAACCATGTATACTAAATGTAATCGATATAAAGTAGAAAAGTATGATAACTTTTTATATTTCTACACTGAGAAAAAAGTTGTTAATTTGACTAAATCGTTCAACTAATTATTATTTCGTTAACTGAACATATAAAAGTATTTAAATGAAATACAACGTATCAAATTTAACATAACGTATTTGATGTTAATACTTATATACAGGGTATTTCTAAAACTATGTTAGATTTTAAGGACGTAGTCTAGGGGTCGAAATAAGGGAAAAATGTTCCTATAAACATGGGTTTAAAAATCCCTCCGAGTTATAGCTCCCTTATAAAAATGGGTTCGATTTTTTCTTCCAACTTTACGAGGGAAAGTATTTTTAGACTTATGTTTATAGGAATTTTTTCTCTTATTTTGATTCCTAGAAAATGCCTCTAAAATCTCTCACATAGTTTTAAAAACATCCTGTATATTCAATTAACAAAATGGAAATTAATTGAATGCATTTAATCAAGTTAACAATTTTTTTCTCGGTATATTGCTTTCAAAGATGTATAATTAATATTTTTCTTGTCAATTCAATAATGCGTGTCATGATTTTAATTTAACAAAATATGTCATTCGAAAATGACAATGGTAGGTAGTGCCGTTTGTACCTGCAGACGACATAAATGGACGTGATACACAAGCGCATACGAACGAGTACCGTGGTGTGAAAACACAATGAAGGAGTCCTCCAATGCTCCGTACTATTGAGAGTGATTCGTAAACACGAGTATAGTAGACTGTGAGCACAATGGTGAACTTCAACAGTCTCACCGAGTTATGCGGCCATGGTATAGGAAGGGGAAAAGGCATAATCGAATCTCTCTATATTGCCAAAGGAGACTCGGTAAATCCCAAGTAAAACTTGTTTCAAACAAATTTCAGCACGGTGGTTCGCACAAAGCATTTCCTCGCAATGCGCGCGAATGTCATTGTCAACGTGAATTTCACTCGTATAATGCATAAATGTCTATTATTGACGCGCGTGAAATAACATATCGAATAAAAACCTATTTTCATCGAATGAAAAAATGATCCATGATGCAAGATTTTATTCAAGCGATATAAACATTTGTTTCGCAACGCGCGTTTTTTAAAAAACTGCGAATCAATTCCGACTTTCGCTTCATCAACGTGACATTAATAATCGATGCTATCGGGAGTATCGTACAGCGAATGTATAGCGTTCTTACATTACGTGTGCAATTGGGCAGGATTCATAACTGTTATGTGGTGCACGAGCGGATGAGAATTGGCTACAGGTGGTCCCGGGCAAATCAATATGTGTACGTGTGTTGGCTGAATACGTGAGTGTACCCTCGACGGGTTTCCACCCTATGACGGGTTTTACGATCTTGGCGATGATGACAATAGTGACAATAGCGCGATATGGAGAAAATGCTTGCGCTTCGCGTTATCGTTTGTTCGAAAAAATTCCATGTTTTTTCTTTTCGTTTTTATCGAGATAACATCGAAACATACATACCTATGTTTCGAGACGCGCTTTGTGATAACATTTACAGCAGGCTTGGGAACTCTCGAGGATAAATTGGAAAACTATGTAAGATGGATTTAAATGGAAGATGGTACTTACAGAGAAGCGGACAGCAAACTCGGGATGGGACAACAAATAAAGGTGTGGTCTCAAATGATGCGCGGGAATTGAACTGAAATAAAGAGATAAACGAGTTTTAAAGAAAAAGGGAAAAACCATGAAAACTTCAACTTTATTAGAAAATATGAATAAATAGTAAAAAAAACTTTTAACATCTGTAAGCGTGTATATTGTACACGATAATAAAATATAGGAAGATGGAAATAATATATATATATATAATTTGCATATAACGAAATCTGTTAATACTATCGATAGATATCGAGGAGAATTAAATTTACAAATATGTACGTAAATCTCTTAAACGAATACTACTTGTTTCGTTGAAATAATAAATGGTAGTTAAATTTATTAACAAGTAATTAATCCAGCGATCAATTATTTAATAATCTCGTTTCTGTTTTCTGTCAATTACCTTTACTCCTCATCGTCACTCAACTCTTCATCTTTTACAAGTTCTTGTGAAAAACCAATGGCATACAAGTCTTGTGGTGATAAATGCTGAATATAAGATTCAAGTTTAATCAATCTGTAATGGCCGATGCAATCCACTATCCAATTGTCAGAAATCGGCGCTGCTTTAACAATTCGATACCAACATTCTATAACAAAAATTAAGACGCAAATGTACTTTAATACGTATCGTTTTCTCGGAACAGGTAGAAAATATATATACATATATATTAGATATTTGTAAACAATTATATCGATATAAATATATTTAGATTAATGCTCATATATAGATATATATTTTTTTTAATTTAAATTATCTTCACAAGGATTCATTATACATTGTATTTATCTATAACAATTACTTACCGATTTTCTTGTCATCATGAACACCGTCTTGAATCACAATGCCTTTTAGGCCTTTCTTCTTAGCCAGAGCTTCAAGAGAATCTACTACTGTGGCTCCAGTGGCGAGTAACAAGCTCTGAAAACCAAAGGTATTTTTACACGATGGGTTTGGCTCGAGTCCAATTTCAAATAGCGCGGTGGCGGCGGCGACTGAACGTGCAAGAACCGTAAATAAAAATCTTTCCGGTCCAGCGACACGTACAACGAATTGGTTTTAATTACAGCCGAAGAAGTCTTATCGCGTTTTTGACAGAGATTAATAAAACTCATGACAAAGCAAATAAGTTCCCTTGTTTAGCTACGGATTAAAATTTCGCGACATCTCGTACGTTCTACTTTTGCGGAAATTAGACAAATCAAAGACTGACCTGATATTGGCTCAGCGAAACATTCGCATATGGTCCGATGCAGTAAAACGTAAAATCCTTAAAGAGATCATTCTCGCGTAGCCTTGATTTTTGAGGACCATTTGAGGCAACTATATCGTTGTTGAACGTTGTGGCCTCATAAGGAGTTTCGTCCAGCAGTTTTCCCTGCTTGATACAATCATCGATCCACTCGTAGCTGACTATCCATTTTCTGTAAGCTATACCCTGAAGAAACTTCAATGTGATTTTGGCCGCTCTCTTCTCGCCTATCGTACTCATGATAACATGCGTTACATCAGGTACAAACTGATTCATATAATCTGCATTATGTTTTGTCGCGAACTCTTTGACAGTCGCTAACATAGACGCTGATAAGCCGCTACATATGAAACACAGTTTTCGTCTATCGGATTGCCGGTGAACATTCTCCAGTTTTTTCTTCGTGGAACTTTGTGGTGTACTTTGATAAAGCGGATGTATTTCCTTCATAGGCGTACTCGCACCGCTCTTCGAGACGGTCCTTTTGTTCGATATGCTCGATATCTGCTCGACGACTGATAAGTGTGGCCTTGAATTTAGCGATAAATGTGATGTATTTCTTCTCGACTCGAGGAGTTTAACATTACCTCCGTTACTGCAACATTATAATAATATTGATTATTGTTTAAAGTTTAAATCATAAATACATATACATGTAACAACTTTATAATTTATAATTCTTCAATTCTTGTACATTACTACATATTTATTCTGCATATTTTATATCTTCTTCATTATTTTTATCTTATTACTTTTAATTGCGTATGTACATTTTCATTGATATTTTATAATATTCTTCGAAACTATAGAAATAAAAGAGATGCAGTTCTGGCTATTTCAATGTGAATTATGCAATAGAAAATATTTAATATATAAACATATTGTGTAGCTAGCAAAAACACGTAGACGTGAGCATACGATAAGGGGAAAATACTTAAAATACTTACTTCTTCATCTTTCTCTCGGGAGTTCTCTCCACAACATCGTCTTCTTCGGCAGAGAGTACCTAAAAATGTTTAAAAATGCTATATAAGAATCTTGTTACTTCAATCAAATAGTTTTCATGCCACAATTACAAATGTATCGACAATTTTATAAATTTAAAAAATTTTATTATAAATAAACAACAGAAGCTAACTAAATATTAAATGAGATAAAAAATAATGTCATGTATAGTGCAAATTCGTGAAAAGCGTGAAGTATGTGTAAAACAAATATTTCATAATACATTCTCTCTATTATTTCAATCTAATGCACTACATGCGTTAACATTACATGCACACGACTGAAATACAATACAACATAAGTATATAAATATATGTAAAATATTAAATCACAAAAAGATTTTTAATTAAGATAGATTTAAAAAACATTTTTTAAATTGTGAAATTGTTACAATAGAAAAAAATTTGAAGAATGAAATTAAAAGCGTGGAGAGATAGCTCGGCAAATTAGTTTTAATAATACATTAGTAATATTGCTGATAAAACGATTAATCTTAACTAAAACACGAAGTGTAATTATTTCGACAAGGTTTAAAATTTTCTGAAAATAAAAAGAAATTTATTCTCGACGTAATTTATCAAATTCGCAGTAATTATGATGATTTTATAATATGAAGAAAGATATAGACAGAAGAGAATTGTTTGCTTGCAAATTCACAATTCGTTATAATTATACATTATTTTCCTTTATATAGAATTTCGATATTTAATAAAAATATATTTTTTTGGAATGCCGAAAGCATAAAAAGAAGCGCGCACTAATATGTTATTTAATTAAAAAAATGAATGAGATCGTATAAACATATATACTGACCTCTGATCCTGCGTTATCTTGAGTATGTTTTTTCCTCTTCTGCGGAGTGTGCTGCTGCTCCTGGGACGGATTCTTCTGCGTTCTTCCTTGGTTTCTATTAGACTTAGGGCTACTGAATAATTCTTCTTCAAATTTTTGCATCTGAAGTTGATGCTGCGTAACATCCATGAGCGAATCGAAGCAATTGTCCATTGTCAAGTTTAGCTCGTCGTCGACAATTTTTGATTTTTTCTCTGCGCCATCATCGACATGAGATATCGAATCATTAATATGTCGTGCAGGAGGGGAAGATTCATCGAAGAACTTTTCCTTCTCAGACGATACATTATGCATTGACGCAATCCTTCTGCAAGAATCTTTTTCAATTGTGTCGACGTTTGCCATTACATTTCTCTTCTCTCTTCGATCAACTGTACAGTCGTGCCTCTTTTGGCCGGAGGATGCAACATTTTCCTTGCCAAGATTTTCTAAAGTGGCGATCGTCGAGGGTTTCTTAACGTTTTTGAGAGACTGCTGCTCAAAAATATCGTTCGTTGACGATGCACTTAACATTGGAGTCTCCTGCGTGGCGCCACACAATTCATCTGTCATCTCAGGACAGTTCGACGTCCTCTGTTTCACCAACAGGCGAGATTTGAGATTGCGGTTGGTCGGCTGGTTGGTACAGGCTATCATATCCTCGTTACTTTGTGGCAGCTCGACGTTTGCGATGATCTCGTCGAAATTGTCCTGTAGCAAACACTCTTTGCTGGTCTTTTCTTTTTGACTCTCCTTGTTTCGTGGGGAATTCAGTGGTCGACATGTATTAGTATGGCTCTGTGATCGATTAATCTGTAGTACTCTATTTATGATATCGTCATTAGAGGCTTCTGCGATTTTTTCCGATATTTTGTTCTTGTTGAGCCTCATAGGCTGCTGTAATATATCGTCAATATTTTCTGAATTGAACATACTACTGCTTTCAAAGATTATATCAGATTCTCGCAGTGGTAAGCTTTTCACAGATTGTCGCTGACTCTTCAATTTTTCCTGAGACGGACATCTTATTGGCAAACATTTTTCCTTAGGCGCGTCCATAATCGATGCGTTCTGTTGGTCAGATTGATCGTCGGTCCTGGGTCTTCAGAAAGAAAAAAAAACAAGAAAGTATAAGAGAAATACGTCTCAATGACAAGAATATTTTTCCGAGATTAAATATACAGTGTATTATAGTGCTTTGTCGCATTACTTCATCTATAGTAATGGAAGGTAGTAGTAATCACTCAAAGTAATTTAGTATGATAGAAAAAAAAAACATTTAATTTCGGAAAAACAATATTCGTTGATTATATACAGATCAATGCAAATAAAAGTTATAACATATAAAAATTATAATATAGATATTTACAATTATATAGATAAAAAAATGCTCAAGATAGAAATAAAAATTAAAAGGTAAAAATATTAGCAAGAAAAATTAAAACAGAAAATAAATTTGACAATATTGGCTTATATAAAATTAAAAATATAATTTCTAAAATACCTTTTCAAAGTTTTCACGACATGCTCCGCCGATTCCAATTCCGTGTCCGAGATAGAAGTCGATAGCACCCTCTTGAATTTCCTCTTGGGTGTATGCTGTTCCTCACAATCCAGGGGGATTACTTCGGTTACGTTCGAGGAACTCGAATGACGTTTTTTATTCGCACCTTCTAAACTCGATCTGATGTTTTTGAATGATCTATTGTGTCCGTCAAGTTTTATCCTGCGTCTATCACTGTCACTGGCCGAGTCGCTGGAATCGTCGTTTCCATCGTCCTTGAACAGTTCTTTGTCACTGGTATATCTCATTCTTTCCCTCTTCTTATCGGAGTTTTCGACGAAAGGCTCCTGCAATTTGCTCGTGGACGCTGCAAAGTGCGAATTTTTCATCGTAGAAAAGTTATTTCCTTTGGTATGAACGAGCTCCTCGAGCTCAGATTGCTGTCGTTGCCGCGTTGAATTCGCGCGTCTAGATTCTCCGTGTTCGCTCATTGGGGAGTCTATCGCCAGAAACTTCAGCTGCGAATCTTTGTCCGGTGACAGCAGTTTAATGGAATTCAATGCTCTTGAATGAACACGCGAGATCCCTTGAATCGCGGAGTTGTCTATGGAAGGCGTCTTATGAACAGATTCCGCGCTTTTCTCAGTAGCGTCCTCGATCGTCGTAGTCTTCTTTCGATTTAAATGATGATCGATATCTTTTTTTGGCGTCGAAGTCGCTAAAACTTTACGACGCGGAGATGCCGTGGGAAGTTTGGCGTCTTTCGAAACAGCTTGAATTACGGAACCAATATCCTCCATCATAATGATGTCGATCATGTCTTGCGGCTCGTTCGATCGATCAGGGATTCCCACCAAGTTGCATGACATATTCCCGATACATTGCTTCATCTCGGATTTGCTGATCGATTGCTGCATATTATATACTGATGTGTTTTGCATTTGCGCCGGCATCGACTGTTCGCGTTTAACCGCACTGAAAGAAAAGTATTTCACATTACGTCGTCTAATCATTGTGCCCATTTGAAGAAATTTCACGACACTGTCTTTCGATATCGAAAAATCGACGTTTCTACGATCATCCATGTCTTTCGTGATAATCGCCAATCTCTCAGCCAATAAAGTATTACTTAACGGTGGAGAATCAGTTTTCTTGTTATCACCAATTCCTGGCTTTCTTTTCAAGGATAATCTAGTCTTCGATATTGGAGATTGCGGGACTTGAAAAGAAGCAGCTTCTCCCAATGTCTTTCGAATGCTGTTATTCTCTTCAGGTTCAGGAGTTTGATTTTCCGCCGTGACGAACGATGATAAATTTTCAAAGTCGTTGACAGAAGCTTGCGTAATATCGCGGATTTTTTCCATATGTTTGTTTATAGATTTGTTGAATTTCTTGGGCGTTAATCTTTTTGATGACGACGGTAACAAATTATAATCTTCTGAGGTCATCTCTACATCTTCTTCATGACATCGATTTTGAGAAGCTTGAAAATCCTTGTTAACGTTTTTGGCGCCGACAATATTGCTTACCTGATTGTTGGTCAGATTTATTATAGGTATTCGTTTACCTTCTTCCTCCAACATTACAAACAACGGCGTTTCTGGCGAATTAGTAAATAATGCTGTTGAATCATTAGCTTCGTTCTTTGCTCCTCTCTCTGCAGATTTCTTATGAATGTCCGTTTCGCTAAATGATCTTATTTCTGCATTCGATGAATCCAGATTTTTATCGATAGCATCCTGTTTCTGACTATTCTTTTCTTTGCTCATGCTAGAATTCACTGCAATTTTAGCCAGATCGTATTTCTTACTCTGCGATAACGCAACATTTTCAATTATTCTTGGTGGATCCTTATTCTTCTCGATGCTCACATTCAGCTTCTTCATCTTTCTTTTTCTACCGCGTTTTGTTTCTTTGCCGAATTCGATAATGTGAGTCCAATCTGTTGAAGATGATGGAAGGGTAACCGCGTTCGAAATCGAATCATTGGTCATCTGATGCATCTGATCGTTTGCTGCTGTTGATGATAAATTGTTCTGATCGTTCGTCTCCTCGACGCTCGATTTCGACGCATCGTCCTTATGAGTTTTTGCTCGTATCCTAGCGTGAGTCATTTTATATTTCAATTTACTCGTCTTCGCGGAGTTGGTCTTTTTTACTTCGTCGAATTGCTCCGCTCTCGCGTTCTTGCTTATCCGGGATGCATCTGTATCCTCGTCGATGTGGTCTGTACAATCTGTACTCTGTTTTTTAAGGCGACTTGGCCTGTTGCCCTTATTGTCCTTGTCGTTATGTATTTCGTCGGTCGCGTCTAATATATTATCTCTATTGGATATTAAATTGTCGTTGTTTTCTATAATATCATCGGGGAGATGATGCAACCACGTGCGAACTTTGATATCAGACCTGCTGAGAATCTCGTCGGCGGGATGGGCAGAATTACTATATAATTGTTTGGCTTCCTCGTTCAACGAGCTTAAACCATATCGCAGATTATCAATGACCGTTTTTTGACGTGTCGACGATTTTGCTGTTTTCAAACACTGTTTCAACGGCTTTCTATCGTTAGAATCTCTACTAGATTGACTAGTAGCCAAAGGGCAACTTTCTTTTGTATCTTGCGGTTGCTTCGAGTATGACATTACTGTAACATAAATTATCAAAGCACTGATCAGAAATTGTTTTGTTTTCTGATCTTACTAAACAAGTACAATTTTACATCAAACATTATGAATTAATTTGATTTTGCGCAATCGTTTTTATTATTCTTTATACAATTATAGATAAATACGATTATATTACGACCGTGGTAATCTTTACATTTATTATTCTTTTTCTCTTTTTTAGTAAAGACAACTTAAAAATATTCACTGCAAGGAGTTGGATGATGTTGGAAAGATACGTGATATCTAAACTCCAAGGCCTAATAAAACATTGAGCTTTCTGTAAATGTACAGTGTGAATCGAGGCACCCTAGAGTATTGAGAATTAAATTTTTCAAGCCTCCTCTGCGCACTATGAAAAACATAGTTCTGACCTTGCTTAATGTACTTTTATGGCAATACATTTATTGTATTCGCTGTTTTTAACTCTTGTTCACAACTGAATAAAACAACAGTGGATCTCTTGCACAGATCAATAATTAACGCAAAAATGATAAACATTAACAAAGACTTGCAGCACAGTTTCTGAATAACATTTTAAATGCAAGAATTATTTCCTAATGTATACTCTCTATATGTTCCTTTACATTCTTATATTTTATAAGATTAATCAATAATAAGTAAGATTAATCAATAGTAATCCAGATAAGAAATTTACATTACATTGATTTAAAAATAAATTGATCAAAAATTAAAATTAAAAATATTTCTGCAATGTACTCACTGTCTATATGACTATCGATTTGGATGGCAATGATAAGGTTTGTAACCTTTTCAATACAAGCTTCCAAGTGATCATCCTTGGAAATATTGCGTCTATTGAGGTTTTTCTTGCATAGCGGACAAGATGCACCTTTCTTTGTCAAAACCTTCCCTATGCATGACTTACAGAATGAATGACCGCATCGTGTCTTTGTAGGCTCTGTCATCATTTCTAAACTAAAATAGTAAAATCAAATTGTAAATAAAATAATATTTATAAATTTTGAAATTAATCTAACAATAAGTTCTATTCATATGTGTGTTATTTTGCATACTACTATTTTGATTTTATATATATATATATATATATATATATATATATATATTTAAACTTGAAAAAAATATATTGTGCAATATTATAAAGTTTTGTGTGTGTGTGTGTGTGTGTGTGCGTGTGTATAAAGAATATGTATAAAGAGTATAACTTTTTGATATTTTTTGTTATTATTTATACAATAGAAATCTACAAATTAATCACACAAGTATTTGTTTAAAATTTAATACAAATTAAATATAAAATAAAATAAGTCATATATGATCGATGAAATACAATTACATATAACTTAGTCTGTGTGAAATTCATAAATATATTATATATAAGTATTAAAAATATCCTCCATACTAACTGAAATCCTAACCTATATCAGTCGCAATTATCACACGTGAAAGTAGTTTCAATTAATCGCGATTATACATTGTGTGAACAGATTCGATCGTATTTTAACGATATCTTAATTAGCAACTTACCAAATTGTACATTCCAAGGATTTTTGCATACTTCTTACAGTTTCGGAAAGTTGCTCGATGACACCCTCTGGAATTTGTCCTGCCATCGTTGTTGCTCGCAGTTAACGCGCACAAACTTATTATCACCGACACTTGTGAACACTGTTTCTGCCTCGGAAATATGTACAGTCCTCGGACGAATTATACGAATTGTTTATTCCACACGTTTTAATCCACCACCGTATTTCGAATCAAAACAGAACTCGACAATGCGCGGGATTCGACTGCAGCGCCCCTGCGAATCATTGCATATATATATATATATATTGCATTATCGATTATCTCTTTCGAACTGAGATAAATAAAGATAAAAATCGTTATTGTATATATATAAACCCAGCAAAGTAACAATGACACGACATCAATGTTATTGTTACTTTGTGTTTGCTGGGAAGCTTATTAAGCCAAGTGCATATTTATGTAGATTATAATGTATGTATTTTATTATTAATTATAAATGATATATATATGTATGTGTATATGTATCTCTCTCTTTCTCTGCTGTTTGCTTCTCTCTCTCTCCTTCTCTCTCTTTCTCTCTCTATATATACTATATATATTAATCTATATATATATATATATATATATATATATATATATATATATATATATATAGTATATATAGAGAGAGAAAGAGAGAGAAGGAGAAAGAGGAAGAGAGAGAGAGAAGCTATATATATATATATATATATATATAAAAGTAATTAAACATTTAGCAATTACTATGAAAATATCATTTAAATCTCGATATTTACATATAAATTATATCATTATAACGAATCACAAATTACAAAGAAAAGAATCGAAAGGAGATTGTAAAAACTGAATATTTATGCAAAATTTGACGAAAATGATCTATGGCTAAATAAAAGCTTATATCAATATCAAACCGAATAATCAATTTCTGTTGAGCCAAAACAATTTTAGCAAATTAGAACGTCGCTCTTACCTTGTATACAATATCTTCTCATAAAAATGCTTGTTAGAATAATAGGCGGCATCGTTCTGCGCACGTTAAGATCGGAAATAATTTACTGGTCCGCGTAGCATTATATTGATACTTGATCGATTTCCGAACGCAATCTCAGGCTGCAGTCGAGAAGACGCTCCGAAGCGTTTGATTGGCCAATCAGGGGGAAGAGATTACAGAATCCTTTATCCTGATTGGCTAACGCGACGCTTCGATACATCGATTCGCGGTCTTAAAGCGAGTCTGCCGGTCTATATGTTCGCGCGCGTTCATGCTTGAAATAACTATTTGCCGCCAAATCTATGCAATATCCATACGAGAAATGGCTGTCGCGAGTTTGAAGCGCGCGAGTCATCTCCGTGTTTTAGTCGTCTCGATACGGTTCGTTTCGACGCGATGCGCATTTGCGAGTTATATTATCGTGGAGTATCGCTGCGGAATATCGACAATAACTCAACTGCAAGCCGATGAAGCATCTTTCAGGTAATATCTCTCAATCGATTCATGATCTCTTTTACTTCTGCAATAACTCTTCCAACCGGCAGCGCTTTCTTCAATAAAAATTCAAATCTTTTGATATCAAAAAACATTTTGAGATACATTTACATAAATGTTACATATATATAAAAGGTGTCTCAGATTTATATATATATACATAATATATCAGGGGGAGAGAGAAAAGAGAGAGGAGAAAGAAGAAAAAGAAAGAGAGAGAGAGAGAGAGAAAGAGAGAATAGGCCATATCTTTATATGTCTCTCTTGTTTGAAATAATTTTAATTTTATTAGTTATATAATTTGTGACATAAATGATGTAATTAATTTTACGTAAAATTGTTTTGTATTAAATTTAAAAAAATTTTATCATATATTTTTTTTGTTTATTTTATTTTTAATCAGTTTTTAATGCAAATTATAACATATTTATTTATGTTTATAGTATTTACGTTTTTAATTAAATAATTTTTCTTTATTTTCTGTACAAAATATTTAAATAATTTTTAATAAAAAATAATGTATTTGTAAATTATGAGATCAAATGGCATATGTGGCAAAGTGGCTACTGATTATGCATGCTGAGTTTATAATATAATTTATTGTATTATTTAATTAATTCTCATGTATTGTCTATTAATTATTAATTGCAGTAGTTTGTTAAAATTGCATTCACGAAATTAATATGAAATAGTAGCTGAAACGTCGTGCATTATATGTTTTATAACGTACTGATGCTTCATATTATATACTGCACTAAACAATAAATTATACATATATATATTTCCCCCAATATAATGTATCATTAAACCAAATTAATTGAAATATATAATTCTTTGAACTGTATTAGTGAAACTGCGTCATTCTGTTTCTGTTAGGTAAAAAATATTTGGAATCTATTTTATAAACAATATGAGCACGTACACAATTTTCAACGACGTTAAAAATATTTTATTTAAACACTACAGCGGTAAATTGCCCGAATGTAAATAGAAAAATATGATTGCATCTGGATTTTGCCGGATTAAATAAAAATAGGGAATAAAAATAAGTTATATACATCGATGTACATAGCAAACCGGAGGAATTCGATATAGGTTTGCCATTATAGAAAAATCTCGGGGGGAAACGCGAAAACAAACGCGACGCTGCGGTCTCTTTTACGAATATGAATATAATCCTTGTCTGCCCGAGCCAGCCAGGATTCATCCTGACGCGCTCATGCATAAGCCATTTACTGATGGTTTACGGAAACGTCGGAAGAGCACACCGCGCGACTCGAAAGCAAATTTATACATTATTCGCCGGTGATTATATAGGACAGCGGATCTCGCGGAAGCCGCTCTCGGCGTAGGGCGTTTCAATTATTCGTATCTCTCCGCGATGTAATTCACCGATACAGGAAATTTTCGACCTTCCGCGGTTAACCGTGCGCGCCTCGCGTCCGCAACCGCCTGCGGAAAAGCTTTACACGGTCTTAAATCATGGTTTTGATGGATTAAGGCAAGCAAGAGGAATTAGCTGAGCTCTATAGACTGAAATTACAGTCGTGTCGTACAAAGCGTGTACCTTGATAAACATTTATATAAATTCAAAACTGCTAAATCTATATAAATGTACATATCTATATTAAACGCTTGCGAACCAGATATCTGTCGATTCAATTTTTAATTTTACCGGCAGAAATATTTTTGCGATAATAAAATTTTAATTAAAATTTTATTTTTTTTTATAGTCACGATCTCAGCCCCGATGCGCAGCACTAGCCGTTGACGAGTTCTACGTGTGTGAAATTATGAACGTGATGTCATGTAGCATGATTTTTCTCGGACCGACCTGTTGATGAAGTATGGGGTGGTTCTTCCTTGCCAGTATTTTGCTGCTCTCCTTATGCGGTAAGTCTTAAAAAGATGATTAAACTCTTACATAGAAGAACTCTTACATGAGATTTACACTCTTACATAGAAATATGTAATATTAGAATATTACTTTGCGCTGCGATTGTTTATGCAAACAAATCTGCGCGCTAATATCTTCAAATTATTTATATTATCATTAATTTATTTATATTATCATACAGTCGAAATACGCACTGTATACCTCTCATAATTTGCGAGGAAATATTTATTGAATATTTATATTCCAACATAATAATTTACACTTGTTTTTAGAATTATTTAAATAATATTGATTTTGTTTCTGATTTTTTATTGATTAATTTTAGAAATACATAAGAAATAAACAAAAATCTGAATTGTTGAATATCAAATATATGTGTAAAGAATGAATATATTTGCAGTGCAAATTACATAGAATATTATCTATGGCTCATAAATTATACATTTTATAACGCAGATTCCCGATTAATGTAAAATATCGCGTTTAGTAATCAGTCCAATGAACTGTGATTCATAAATTAATTTCTGAAGTTGTGAAATATTAAAGTCTTAATTTATTCATAACCATTTTGCCAATTAACAATTATGCAATCAAAAATTCAAGCTGCTCCAAAGATAAAACAAAGATGTTCTTTTTATAAAAATAGCAATTCCTGTCACGATTGGTTAAAACAAAATTGATCACTGCGCGGATTCAATAATTCGTTCAACCTCAATACAAGCTGTAGCGGTTTTGATTCTAAAAATTATTACTTTGTTTGAAATATTGATTTTCTATTCGTGGCAAGACTTGTGTTTGTTACGCGGATCGTAAAATCTAAATTTTTATCTGCATATGCAAATTATCTAACATTATCGGATGTAGAATAATGAAAAAAAAATCTTCATGAAAAATATTTGCGTCCTTCACGTCGTTAATATAACTTTGCATTAAGGATGCTGCGAACCCGTCAATCACATATTTCGCAAGCCTGACGGTAAAAATTAATTTTTTACCCTCATTATACATCATATATATATACATATATATGTTGCAAAGAATTTGTTCGGCACTTTTTACACGAGCAATGCATGCGACAAAAATAGCACTCGACGATTGTCTTGATTCACATTTCAGTAAATTTATATTGCAACAAATATTCAATTCAATTTAAAATCAAATTTAAAAGTAAAAGCGCTTAAATTATTGAATATATAAGTATGCGCTCTTCAATCTCTTGAAAAATAGATCAATCCAATTTCGAATAATAATGATAAGTACATTTTAGTAGCAATGAAATGATAGTAATAAAAGTTATAATTGTCACTCATTCAACCAAGTGCGATTCCATAACTGTTAGAGGGAATGCAAATTGAAAATTTTTCTTCTCTTCTCTTTATTATGATGATTGATGATTGCCTGATATCACAATTCGTAGCAAGTAGAGCGTGAAATACGATTCTGAGGCAAATTTCATAATGTACATTTATTGTTCGCATTCAAATATGTTGAAAAGTGGATCAAGCGAGTTTTGTGCGATCATATATACATATACTTATGTGTTCACGATATTTGCACATTGACAAATTCCATTTATTGAAAAGATACGGTTTACGAAATTCGCTTTGCAACAGGTATTGAAATTGGCGAACTTTGATATTCTATTCAAAAGAATAAGATTATTGAAGGGGCAAACTAATAGCCACTAATAGCTTTTTTATTCTAATAAAATTTACTTACGATTTTACCATGTCCTACAGTTTTTAAAAAAATTTATATTGATATAAAAAAGAGATGGAGATATTTTTTGTTACAATTTGAGATACAATCTTAATATTTATTAAGGTAAGTCTTTTTCGATAACATATGCGATTATGACATGACAATTTAAGGGCAATAAAATTTTTACATTGCATTGAAATGGGTATAATTATAAACATAATTCTTTTATTGCAAGTGTTTTTCTTTTACTGCAAATGTTATAATAAAAAAATATTTTAGAAACTAAAAGCTATTCAAAAAACATAGGAAGATAGAAACTAATATTATAAGAACAAATAAATGAATATACTGATTCTTAATAAATTTATTTCCTTTATAAAATGTGTATAATTTCAAAATTATTCAGATATAATGATTCAAATTTAAATATAATTAGTATTCAATAAATTGATTATGGAGCTGTGCAATTACAGCTTAATTAATTATAATAATTATGACATGTATAATTTAATTATGGTTTATAATCATACATAATTTTCATTTATATATATCTCTTTATAATTCTCGTTGTTATAATCATTCATCCACATTGAGTGGAACCCTAAATGCAATTCATCAACTCTCCTCTGTAAATGCCCGTCAATCCGTTTGTCATCACATCAATGTCACTCCTTGACCCAACAGTAAACTGAAATCCTATCTATCTCTAAACATATATATGCGTTAATTTAAGAAATATATCGAATAAAAATATTACATATTGATACTTTTATCTCTTTAACGTTATCTCTATTATCTCGTATATTACGATTATTTGTAATTGCCAAAATTAAATAGGAAACTCTAATCGATAAAATATTAACAACAAAATTTATTTCTCTTAAAATGCACTAATTTCACATATTTTTCTACTTAAAAATTATTTGATACATATACTTTTTGTGATTTTTTGTCTCATACATATTAAAAATCCATATAATAGAGAGCATAGGGGAGATGCGAGCAAAATGCACAATTTAAATGTTATATGTTGCTTATATATTTATATGTTGCAACTTTTTTGCGGTATTTTTATAAAATCAATTCTTCTAAAAAAAAAAAAAAAAAAACCTCAATCTTTATATAAAGCGTTAAATTTTTATAGATCAGTTTTATATATGTACGTACATATGCATAATTTGCAAGCTTTTTGCAAATTCGAGAAAGTTTTTTTTATAAAAATGTGGTGTTTTTTAAAAAGACGAGAGATATAGATTTTATAAAAAAAAGCTTCCAATATAAATATTTAAATTTGCCAAACCAAAAATCACATCAATAATTGATCATAGAAACACTTAAATGATGCTTTTCACGTTCGCACGTCACATTCTCTATTTTTGAATATCCAGCAAGCAATCGAGAAGCCAACAGACATAAGAATAACGTCTAGCAATTCTTCTCTTAGACCATTCAATAAACGATTAACTAATAAATGTTAGATAAAGCAAGGTGAGCGAATCGCCGGAATCGAATATCTATAATCCATAATCGTGAATTCCCTCCTGTTCTCCCTTCGAATCCGATCGAATGCGAATCTATAGTTTAACGGCGCACGCCCTACCTGTATATTTCATGCTGCTTCCTGGGAAAGCGGCGGGAGCGCCGATGCCACAGGGTGGTGCTGGAGGTACAGGGACCCATGGTCAGCCTCAGGCCGGCTCGTCGCTGAGCACTCCGGGCCCCGGCGGCGGTGGATCTACCGGTGGTGCTACCGGAAGCGGCGGCGGCGGCGGTGGCGGTGCTACCGGCTTCTCCACCGGCGCTGCCGGGGCCGCTTCTTTCGGTCTTGGCGTTACCGGTGGATCTATCGGCGGAGCGACCGGAGGTGGCGCCGGCGGCGGTGCCGCTGCATCCGGGACCTGGTCCAAGGGACAGGGGTCCAAGGGCCCGGCACGTCGGGGTCGTGGGTGGCGCGATTGGCGTCGCGGCGATCCTACCCTCATCAAGGGCCTGTGGAAGTCGAAGGGTCCTCTAGGTAAAGTCTTGGGACTTGTGCTAGTTCACGCAAGATTAGGCTGCTTGTAATAAGTGTTTGGGAATGGTTGTTATGTGGAAGCTGGTGTCGAGAAGACTGATGTTTACTCTTCACGGAGGGTCTTAAAATTGGCATTCTTTAATTTAGATAACTTTGACTTCAAATATTTTATTCTTCATTACGACATTAATTGTGTATTGTGTTGTGCAATTGTGACGAGTTGGCTATATATTCTTTCTTTCTTTTGATCTTGCGTTTTTAATTGTTTGTTGTTTATTCTTTGGATTTCTTCAGCGAAAAATACAGACTTACTCTTTATTTCTCGGCATAAAATACAGACTTTACGCTTTAGCAATTCTACAGAGTTGCTAATTAATCTTTTGATATGCTTCAAGCACCATTGTATGATAATTTTATTGTTACGTAAAAATGTGCTGGCTTTAAGATTGTTATTTTTGCTTGCCATAATTATAATTAAAATTTTGCATGAATGTGTCTTAAACTGGATAGTTTCAATAACTTCATGCTTTTTTAAGTCCTATGTATTTTTATCATACAAAATGAAATCTTATACCTAGAAACAATATATTTATAGGAATATCTATAAGAAAGAGTGATTTCAAGTAATTTATATTTTTTTGTAGATATCTTTCTCTCTTCCTCAAGAAAATATAAGACATCAAAAATTGCATTCGCGCAGATGATATAATATGGATGCAATTTACATTATATACTCGTTTACTTCTACTTTTATCGATTCGGTGTTCGTAGCGAAACAGTAAAACTTTTTTAGTTTTATTTTGGCATAACAGCAGCTGTCACGAAATCTCATATCACGACAGTCGAACCATAAAGCACGTCTTGCAATTTCACGAAAGTTAGTTGCCCGTCCGTGATTATGCGCTCGTTTGAATGGCAAGATAATTAACAAAAAAAATCCAGAAAACTTTTCCAGAGAATTTTTAGTTATATCGGAATACTCTCTATTTTTTCAAATAGATGGAATTTTAAAAGTGGAAATAGGGTTTTTAAAATTTTAATGCGCGGAAAAATAACATTCTACATTCTACATATTATCCGATCGAAGTTTAATCATGCATGTAATCGCCACGAGTTCAATTAGATTATATGAGAGAACGCATAGGAAAGAAAAATAATCGGATTAAAATCTAGTTAATTTTTGACGATATTTGAATTTTATACCGGAAAAACTTTTTATACCATTTTGCGGACGGAACTCATGACAGTTATACATTTTCTGCAGTAGCTAGTGACAGTCATTTACCAGTATTGTTAGAGGACCAAGGTAGGGATATAATGGCGATAGCTGTGAAAAATTCATGAAACGAACAAACGAAATGGCGTCTTTTTGCTTGCGTTTTCCGCCGGTTCGAGTCTCTGTTTTAACTTTCAAATACGACTCTGGCCGTGAGGAGTCTCTCTTTCGTTTTAGAAATTTCGAATTTTCATCGTAGATTAAGATTATACTTGACCATAAAGTTTTAAAGTCGTCTCACTTTCGAAAAAAAGCAACATAGAACTATAAATATGCAACACGATATTAATTCTTCATTAAAATGATTAACTCTTATGCCAGATTCTAAAGTCGCATGCATATATATTTATTCTTAATAATTAATAGAAGTTTCAGTTTAATTAACTGTAGAAAATGGTCATCAAAAAGATTGTAATATATTAAAAAATAATTAATTCAAAAAAATATGATATTCTATAATTAAAACATTTTCTTTTTCATAAAATTGTTGGGAATATTAAATAATATTTTTTGTGTAAATTATAATATATACATTACGATTGATATTGAGAGTTTACCCAACATTAATTTCTCATCGAGTAATCAATAAGTGAATCTTGCAATTTGCTGGTCAAACATTGATTAATCAAATTCTCAGTGAACTGAAACGGAAACTTTGAAATATTGCTGATCAATTTACTAGCACCACAGTTTGCTGAAATTACTGGCTATAAACTAACCAACTTGCCGTTCATTGTCTTTGCCGGACCCGTCAGTACGAAACATGTATTTATATTTCAAACGTCGATCGATTTCGAACCATACGTCAGCTTTTATTTTTCAAAATCGTGATTTCTTTCCCAAAATGCCACCCCTCCACACACACACACACACAAACAAACAAACACAGACACACTCTAGAGTATTGTTCATTGCATCCGTACATTATAGTTTTGATTTCGTCTTGCATTTCCCCGAGCGATGTGCGCACATAATATCTAAAGCAATTAATTCAATTGTGTTTCGTGTATACGCGCATGCACTCGAGATAACAAATGATACCTGAAGGGGTTGAAGCAACAAGCATGCATTAGCACTTAAGCACCTTGCGCATGTCGGCGATCTTCCCACGATGCATGCGCTATACCCAACTGTTTACACACTTACTTTACCGTCGTGCAAGGATGTTAATTAGCTTTTTGACCACGCGTGTCACGTGACAAGGGCGTTACACGAGCACGATCCCGTGTCTTTGCGTGTGAGCAGATTCGCTAGGACAAGCGGAGATCTACATCATCGTGGCTCTTCTAATCGGCTTTATCACCGTGGTGATCGGATGCTGGCTGTCCGACAATTGCTGGTCGCCGGAGCCTGAAGGGGTGGTCACCCTCGCATAGCCTAGTGCCGACTTCCGTGCCTCCAGGCGATAACAACTACCACGACGCCCCTCCTACAGGATTCTTCAGGACCTCGCCCGCTATTCGGATCATCGACGCGGTAACGCACCCATCGGCAATCATCGCCCGTTGCTCGACATCAATGACAATGACACGCTGTTGCGCGTATGAGCGTACTTATTGTTAGTCATGTACTGAGAAAGAGGAAGAATCGATGGCTCCTCGCAAATTCCTGTCTCGCGATGGAGACGAGTTTTCGAGCAGGGTCGGTTCTTCAATGTAAAGGAATTGAAGGCTAAACGAGATTAGAAGAAAGAGATTCTGAAATTCTTCGCTCTATACACTGTGTAATCGATTTTTCTTTAAATTCACACCAAATATTGGCGATATATTGAATCAATCATATTGGAAAATTCATGTCGCAGCATTTTATATACACGGCGGATGAGAGGATACGAGGCTCGTTATCGATCGAAGTGATTATGATCTCTAGAAGACTGACTCTCTGCAGTTGTAAGTCAGTTCTCCTTTCGCGTCGTAATAGCCGAGGGAAGAGATTTTCTTAAACTTGATTAACATATAATTAGATATGTGCTCGGAGCGTGTCTGGATTCGATCGCGAACGGATTCCATTAAGGATATTGAATGTTCTATGTCTTCTCATCCACTTAACCGTTAATTTAATTAATGCCTAATTGTAAGCATTGACGGCGCGTCCAGCGCATTGTTACGGAGTTGCGAAGTACATGTGATATGGATATCAATATTATTGTCTCACTTATTATGCAATTATATGTCAGGATCTAAGACTTCCGGTAATAATTGATAATCTTTCAAGCGCAAGTTACGCAAAAAATCAAGACAAATCTATATCTATATTGGATTATGATGAACACCCTGAAGGAGATATCTTTGAAATAAAGTATCTTGAATACATCTGCATTATATCAATACACAATACACACAAATACGCCATTCGATAACAATACAATCATCGATCAAAACCAAACGCGTATTCTCAGTCAGTCAGTATCTTTAGGTACTACACTTTTTTACGATTAGAGAATCTCAGGCCAGAGCTACCGAAGCTTCCGAATAACTTCTGAAGGTTCGTCTTCTTCAACTTATCTAAGCGCTTGTGACTTTCATCGCTCACGGTAAAGTCGAATCGACCTTTTTCCCTCGTTCTTTTTTTTTTACGACCGGCAGAGAATCGCGCTTTCCAATTTTAAAGCGAGAGTTCGAAGGACCGCCGTCCACGCAAAGAGTTTGCGCCGACACTCATCGGACGTGAAATCCGATTCGGATTCAGCGGGGTTTGTACATGCGCGAATGGACGGATTGCGAGTGCACTGCAAAGTTCTTATATATTGCACGGTAATACGGCAAAGTTACCGCATCAGACGGTGATCCGCAACGAAGTTGCAGCCGCTCGCAAAGTCCGAAAATGGGTCGATAGCCGCGATGGCCCTCCTCGCTGACCGCTGCTTCCTGATTCGCTCGTAACGTCATTAAAGTGTATCGTAACGAGACGAGAGAGCGGTGGAGGCAGGCGTTATTCGAGTTATACTCGTCGGTATACGGATAATAGTTTCGCCCATATATACGTCTTAATCGTCGCATTCCGCGTATATGAACACGATCATGAACTGCTACGTTGACTACGAACCTCCATCGGGATTCCGATCCGATTCGATTCTCTCCAGCAGCCTCTCGAATTTCGCCACTCGTTCTCTATTATCTCGCTATCGATTTATCATCATCGATTGATGAATTTTCATTGACCTCGCGCGGATATTTGCTTATCGTAACATATCGTTAAGAGACTGATTTTTTTTCTAATTAATCTTGTATTGTCATTAGCGAAATCCGATTCTTATTTAATATCTATTTTCGGGTTTTATCTCTTGATATTAGATAGTTGATACATTTGATCGCGAATCAAAAGTCCTTGACACATTTTCTATTATAGCGCTAATCCAATGTAATCTTGATAAGATGTTTCGACGTTAATTGTTAGAAGTGTCGCTGTTTTAGATGAAATAAATTGTTTATTTTTAATTGCGTTATTCCTCGTACAATATTAACAATAAGAATTGATCCAAAATAAGTAACTCTCTTACGTAATTATTTATATCACATATTTTTCCATAAAATTGATTTATTTATGTTATTACGTGTTACTCTCTTACTTCTTTAAGGCCACTAACATATCTTAGGTGTGTACGTCGGGCATACCTATCAAACTACAGAACAGGTAATTACTGCACACTATAGAACCGTGTAGAATCGAGTATTGACTTAACGGCATCGGGAATGGGCTCGATACGATTAACTGAGAATGTCGGGACTGTATCGGTTTTACTTCACGGGGCGCCTCGTGTAGTGTGGTTAAACACGATAGAACCGATCGTTAGCACGCGATCTGTGCCGGATTAATGAAAATCAACGGACGAGATGTGATTAATATACCGCTCTCGCGCACGTTTCCGTTTAATATCCTACTAGGACGAACGGCGTCCCTTTTGCGTTTTTTTCGCGCACGCTTTGTGTCTCTGAAACTCAATATATTTTTAATAATAAGTTTTCATTGTCTCTCTTTTATTTGCTCAACTGTTTTTTAATTTAACTTTTAATTCGATTTCACCGTGAAATATTCCGTTGCGCAGATTGACAATTTGTTTTCCGTCTACATACATTTTAAATAGCTTTTAACAAGATTTTAATTTATACAATAATTTTCTGAAATTTAACTTTTATCCTGTTGAAGAGATTTGTTAATAACTTTAATAAATTAATAACATATCTGATGAATACAAACGAGCTGTACGATACTTGATTGGCTCTCGTGTCTGGAATCACTGCAACGATTGCAGTAACGAATGAACGAGTGTATCAACAAAAAACGCTTCATTCGTACAAAAAAGCATCTTGTTTGCAAGATCAACTGTATGATCATAGTTTTTTGTTCGCGATTTTATTGACGATGAGATTCGATTAGGGAAAAAATTAAAACACGAGCAGTGTGTTTTTATACACAGAATATTTTTTAAGTTATTAAGAAGTAATAAAAATTTTCTACAAATCTCTCTATTAACAAATGTTACAAATGTATTTGACACTAAAACTCACAGATTTTTTTGTTAAAACAATATTTTAAGTTTATAAAAATTGGCACCGGAATTAATATATAAAATCACGGAGTCGAAAATAACGCCGGATTGACACAAAAATGTTGTACGGTTCCATTAAATGATTAAACATTACGCGAAAACGGAGAAGGAAAAAAGCAAATCGCAGTATGCTAATATCACGTTTTCGGTTCTAGCTGGCAAATTGAAAAATTTCATATAGTGGGATGATGCCTCGGGGCAGATTTGATGCTCTCGGGTACTCGCCAACGCATGCCCGTGACGTACGCAAAAATAACAAACAAGACGCAGATTTCTATGCGTGGTACAGGTCGATGATATAGACAGCGCGATATATCGTCCAAAATGGGGACGATCGCTGTCGAATCAACGATCTGAATTTTTTCCCTCACTTTCTCTCTCTCTCTCTCTTTCTTCCTCACATTTTGCACTCGCGTGGGACGAGCGGGTCGCATTGACAGACTAATTAACCCGGAAGCTCTCCTGCTCGCCGCGTTTATTTTATCTGTCGCGCGAGAACCCGCGAGCGCATACACACGCCCGGTTGATCGATTAATTGAATTTTGATGGACAGGCGCTTAATGATCTCAAAGAGCAAAAAATTCCGTTCAATGAGCAGACATTTTATTATAATTTACAATTTTACAGCGACAGTCTTTCGGAGATATTAATTTCATTGAAAATTCTCTTCGCTTTATTATAGCTATAAATGCAATGCATTTGCAGCGAATTAATTATTTTATCCGCGATAATATTGATGCTTTTATCTAAAACCATTATTTTCATCCAAAGAATCTCTAATTCTTTTATACAATATAGTACACGGAAAGAATTTGTAGAATTTACTCTGAAAATCATGGTAATCGTAATACAATATAATTTTGGAAGAATGTTATAAGAGTTGCTTTGATGAATATTTACCACAATAAAAATATTAATATGTACATACATAGTAAAATAAATGGAACATATTCGATATCTTATTGTAGTAGATATTAATAATCTTTATTTGTGGTAAAAATATTAATCTAGCAATCCCTATTGTTCCACGATTCATGGATTTTTAGTACAAAATTTGAAGAGAAAATTCTCTCTGTGTACATACATACATATATTACAACCCTTCATTACACCGCAAACACATATCCCCGTACATTTTGAGCCGAGTAACATTCTTTACTCACGTTCGATAAATTGTCGAGTGGTGTAACGTGAAATATACGCGGAAAGCAAAAAAGAGTTAACCGAAATCCACGTCACGGCGACTACATATTTCGCTGATGAGGATTCCAACGGCGTTTCCAGCAGGCAATGTGAATTATAGCGGACGATGCGAACCGGACATCCTCGGGGGCGCGCGCGATCGTCGTCGCACGAGGCGAGGGCGAGAACGTAGTAACGTTACCACGGGGGTTGCTGGCGCGAGTTCGCGAGCTTCGTAAATCACGGCTGACAGCAGCGTCGCGTCCCCAGTGTACCCGCGTGTACGCTCGCCGAATACGTCTCGGACAATGCGCGCGTGTTCCGTTCCGTGCCGATGTCTCCCTCGACCGAGGATCTTTTCCCGAAAAATCGGGAAATCCCGCGTCTATGGGATCGTGATGCGCGATCACTCACTCTGTCTGACATTCGTAATCGTCCGTTTCAAAGGTAACCCATTAGTAACCATTAGGGAATAAACACATTTTCCTACTTTTCGGAAAGCGCAGATTCTGAATAGCATTTCTTCAAGTTGAAGTGGCCCCTCGTTTTAATGCGATATTTGTGTATAACTGAGTCAGTGCGCCGCAGATACGTATATGATTTGCGAATCAAAAATATTCAAATTGAATTTCGAATTTATATTGTGTACCTATATTTATATTGAAAAAGAGAATATACACATAGTAAGTTAAAACTCAAATATTGAAGCAAAGTTTATTTAAAATTAAATAAAAAATATTATCGTTGTGTATTTGAAATTTTAGAGCTTATTGTTTATCGGCAATGTTCTTATATGTATTGTTTGTAATCGTTAAATCGAAAATAATTCTAAACTTATATACACCTACATATATACTTACGAACGCGCTCTGTTTCAGTTATATACATATTACAGAGATAATCATAAAATAGAATACACTATTAGCTTGCAAGATATATAGAGAAGACACTCTCCGAAATACATTTCCGACATTAATCGAAAATTATTAAAATCTTTGTGCCGATTACGCAAAGAAACTAAGGTGTTCAAGATACAATCTCTGAAAGAAATAATTATAAATTAATCAAATAAAATCTTGGTCAACTTTGCGATTTGAGTCGAGCGATTTTCAAATGTATCAAATAGCAGGGTCTTGTATATAATATAAATGCATGAAATATGTCATTTTATATCGCATATAGATATTTCTTCGTTAAATTATCTCGTGGCTCATGTTGAATTTCAAGCTTCAAAGGCTTGGAGATGTGCGGTGGAGTGTATAAGGTAGAAGATACGATAAATTAGGGATACAAATTGCTTGGTGGCTCGATTACGGTCTATATATTTCGGTTGACTTATTGGCATGGAAGCAATATTCGCGTTAACTTTAACAAAAAAAAATTATTACACATAATTAATTTATGTATTAATATCGAATTAATTTTTTATTTTTCTCCTTTATTTCCCGCAGAATTTCACGCGAGAGGAGAAGCGAGAGGAACGAAATTTAATAAGTAAAATGAAATTGCTAGAGATACAGGTCGCTTCTCTCGTCTCGCGATTGAGATCTTTCGATTTGTCGAGCAATGGCAGCGAACGAC